CTTTACTAAAACCATAAAAATTTTCAAGATTTAACTTTATCACATAAAATTCGGCTGAATTTATGCTTTTAGTGTGTTTTTTATTTTTTTCCCCACAGCAAAGGTTCTTGTTCGTTACAAACCGGCAATTCCACTTATTTTTTTTCTGGACAAAGATGGAACTGCTTAATTGTTACTCAACACGTGATGTTTCTGGCAAGCAGAGCGAAAAGAAAAGAGCTTACCTTTCATATTGCGCAATGAAATCGATCGCGATGTCTATGAAGTTTTTTTTTCTTCTGATGTGGATTCCAACTGCGGAAGTCTCAATCCTCTGTGATGATTTTTCTCTTCCGTAAAAAACCTCCGGTGTGTATGTGTGGCAGCGGGTAAGTCACAAAAGTGTCGGGGATCTTTTATAGATCAGCAATTCACCGATATCCAGTGCGCCTTCAACGTTCGTTTCCCAGACAAAATCTTTCATTTCATGCAGTTTTATGAAGGGTGAAATATCGAACCATAGGATGTGCGGTGTGGTGTACTAGATAACGTCTCAGGATGAGAAATCGGAGAAACGAGTTCGATTTCCAATCGTGTTCGATTACATTCACTTACGCGTAAATACCCTTGGGAAAGGTATGGATCTATCTTTTCTCCTTCTAGGTATGGATTGAAAAGCAAGAAAAACTGTGTCCTATAGTCTCGGTGTGCAACCAGTATATCGTAGAAGAAAAGACCGCTTACTGCGGGAAATCCGCCTGGTTAATCATGAATCGAAAAAGACATGAACGCCCAAGTGTGTATCACGTATGACACTAACTATATCAAATCATATATATATATGTCGGAGGACGAATATTTTCTGTGAAAATTTCTCGGACATTCATGCCGGTAAATGTTGTTTAATACTGTTTATTATAAACAGAGCATTTACTTAAATATTTGTATCTATAAAAAGAATGTATAAACATAAAAATGTCTTAATATATATATATATATATATATGTATAAATGTATATATATGATGTTAGATCTTGAAAATATCTATGGTTTTAGTAAAATGGGTGGCAATTTGCCAGAAAACTAGCTTCACCGAAAGCGTTAGGTCGAATCTCCATTTCGTTGAATGATTCATTTTACCGAAAAATAAGTTAGAATATTAAAGGGAGATAACTTTTATATATGAATAATGTTTTGTTTTTTTTTTAATTATGTCTCATTTAAAAATGTTCTTGTTATAGGGACCACCAAAATGGATGCTTTTTTTCCCGAAATGAAAGCAAAAAATCACAACAACCTTTTTAAAAATATTTGCCAAAAATCATGGAATTATCCGATACAAAGGAAATTTTAAGTAAATAATATATATATATATATATATATATATATATATATATATATATATATATATATTTATGCACGGTGTCCGGAAAGTTGCACTACTATTGGAAAGCTTTGTAAATTTTATATTAATTTAACGAATTAAATAATGTTTCTGTTTGTGAAAATATATTATTAGGAAATTTTATTGGTCTAATTATGGAAGATGATGTTATGCAAATTTCCTCTGGTTGCTATTTCTAAAGTGTACAATTTCTGACAATTGTAGCATGACTTTTGGGACACCCTATATATATATATATATATATATATATATATATATATAATCGACTCTGGTTGTTTTCGACGTATGAGTGTCAATCAACTCAGTTCCTAGGAACTGACAGCCAGACACCCCCACATATGACATTATTATATATACACGGTTGTAGAGAACCAACCACACCTGGTACACAGTGTGCCATCAGGTCCCCAAACGACACTCCGCAGATTTTGAATTTAGAGTTGTTCTTGTCCTGGATTGCCATCCAAGGCTATAGAACCCAGTTTTTCTGCTATTTACCCATTTCATATATATATATATATATATATATATATTGTGTGTATTTAGGCAGCATCTTTTCATTCATACACGTTTCATTAAATAATATAGACAAGTGTTGTGTATTTATTTTATGTAAACTCTTTTCATAACGTCTAAGTATTGTATTAGACAAAAACTAAAAATCCTTGAAGCATTATACATTAAACAGTTGAAACCCAACCTAAACAAAATCAACTATGGAATCTCTACAAATATCCTTAAATGTCTGTAGTTGGTGACGGAGGCCATTGGTTTGTGCCAACGACTTTCCATACTTCATACTTCTCCAATTCACTCTCGCGTGGTAATGTGTGACGTCATGATATGCGGTGCGATTTTCGCTTCTAGCGTCTTATATGCACGTGTTTATCGTTGCTTAGAAATCATCTATGTAAACATTCACAGACTGTCATCACTGTCTTGTCCGTATATTGCTTAATATGTTGTAATTGACATCTTTGATAATGGCTTATGTAAGCCGAAAGCTTAGATTGTATTAAAAAAAAAATATGGATCAATATTGTGAATTTCTTTCTTCGTTCAATTATAATGTTATTAAACTTATTAGACGTTATGAAAAGAGTTTACATTACATAA